AATCAAAGCAAGAGTTGCACACAAACGGCGTGTTTTTGACAAGCATACTGTTGGCTTAAGACTTGTGGGGACCAGAATGGCAAGTATTAGGCAAGAATTTGGATATAGCGGGTTCAAACTGAAACCTCTGTACGTGCTCTTTGCAATTCAACAATACTAATTGTTCCTGTTTTCAATTTTTAGCAGAAAATTGCATATAATGTTAAAAAGATTCACACGAACTAAAGAGCCTAGCTCGAGAACTCTTTTGACTTTGTTTTTGCTCATTTACCGGTGAAATGAAGGCATGTGATGCAGCATAGATCGTCTCATAAACAGCCATTCAAAGATCCCACAAACAATTGTGGTTTGCACATTTTCAAGCTAACTTTTTGATTGATCCATTCACGATTTAGATTACTATCCAAACTACCATGTCACCCTATCACATCATAACTGGATACCTATTACTTACCATTGCGATCTGGTTAAATGGATATTATGCTGATATTCTTGGTTCGGTATTTTACAAGAGCTCCAATTCGTAACTATATTTAGTTTGTGATTAGGAAATCAATCCACACCGCAAATTGGTGAATGTTCCGTTGCTCATATTGATCTAGTTTTCTGAAACTAGTTCTTCAAACTAATTTTATTAAGAAAAGATTTTTTTTGATTTCTTAGATAATTGTTTAGTATCTCTTAAAAACTCACGTACAAAAGTGGCCATAAAACGAGACAAATCATGCAATCGGTTCTCGAATGATCGCAAATTTTATTGGTGGATTTGGTTTCTCCCATTTTACAACTGTTATGTTTAAGTAATTTCCATTAAGTTTACAGTCACTAAAATCATTATAAAAGCATTACTTTTCTACAAAATCTTCCCGAAGAAAACTAACTTGAGAAACCAAACTTTCTGCGAGAATCCCCGTTTGTAAGAGATTCCTTTATAATCCTTGATGATATCGCAAAGAATTTGTTGTGTAATCATTGTTCCAGTTTTTGGAATCATACAATAGTCAAGGCCAAATGGATACGATTTATGGAAAAAGTAGTTGGAACTGCTTTTCTTTGGACACTTACTAGTTGATTGTGCACAATTTCATCTGTTGCTGACAATACTAAAATTAACAGTAATTGTGATAGCAAAGCTTTTAAGCATTCACAGCTCGAATTTCAAAGATTCAGTTCAGTTCAGCCATTTTAAATCAAAGATTTAGGCAAAAAAGCTGGAAATCGTTTCCACCAAAAAAAGAGCCAGCAAGCAAATGAACATCCTAAAACTTGTAGCCAAACTTTGAAAAATTAAATTTAGGAAATTAGAACTTTAAAAATGTCAATAATGCACATCAAATTCCTTTTGAAATCACAGTTCCTGTGTAAATCAGTTTCTCGAAATTGGAGCAAATCGTTGAAGCGTAAAATCACAAGGAAGAGTAGGCATCGATTCATATCGGTAATCTTGCACATAAGAGAAAACAAAGGTGACTATTAATTATATCAATTATTAAGACTATTAATTAAATGGGTTTTCCTTGACTTGTGGATCAAATTGAATAAACCAAGTTCCGCTTACAGATCATGGCCAATAATCTACCATTCACTTTTACTTACGCCATTTATCCTTTCATATCCCTGGTTTTCTGGATTCATTAACAAGTATAGCCTATTTTTGTTACTACTTGGGAAACTGGCTTATGTACTCGGGAAGTCAACCCTATCAAGAATTTGTGAGAGATATTATTCCTTGATCATTTTAAATTACTGTAGCTATATACGAATCAAGAGTTCTTAACACCGCATTTCAGCATCTATTTGCTAAAAAAGATGAGAAAGAAATAGTACCACAAGATGCTTAAAAATTACAGAATTGCAAAATTGTTCGTCAAACTGACAAATGAAGCTATGAAGCCAAAAATGAAGCCTAAGTTGATAAATAAGAGAAATGAAAAGTGTGCAAACTTCTTGAACAAAAGGCACCGCAATTTTACATGCTTATTAATGATTTGCAAATCTGACATTAGCAAATCACACATTTGTGGTTCATTGAAGGATTAAACCATCTCAAAATTTCCAAAACTTTTTCCTAGGTAATTTTGCAAAACACTCGATCACCCGGAAACTATCAAAACAGAAAAAAAAAATGCTTCTAATTGTGTGAGTCAAGGAAATGAGAAAATCTAAGAAACGGCAATTCCCTTGACAGGGTTTTCTCTATCTATGATTGCACAAATGATCACCAGAATTTCTTTTGTAACGTCAACTTGAACTACTTACTTAATTCACCCAATTCATGTAGTCGCAATCAGAAATCAGAAAGGCTATTTTGTAAGTGTTATCTGAATTCATTTTTGCATAGCTACTTCTCGATTTATAGATGGTTTAATCTAAGTTTTCCCTTTTCCTCAGACAGCTACAAGACTACTCGAACTCCATGTGTGCAAAACAGTTTCTAATCCACACTACAGTCTGAGGTTTGAAACGAAAAATGTTTGTAGTGATATTAAAAGGAGAAATTTCTTAAAACAATCTCAATAATTACAACCTTTACAACCTTTTTATCATAAAGCCAATTTCCGTTTAATTACACCTTTATGTATCTTTAGTAATCCTCTATTTTCTCTGACAGATTGAACTCATTTAAAACTCCTTTTCAAACATTTAACTTCTCAAAAGCTGATCGTATGTTTTTTTCTTGTTCGATATCCCAGGCTTTTAAAGGTTTCAAAGTTAGATGCCTGATCAAAGCTTCTGAATCTACATTCTTTCTTCTGAATCTACACTCTTTGAATCTACAATCTTATCTGTAACTCTTTTGCTTGATCTTGCACATTTTAAAGATAATCCCTGTTTCTCTTTTGATTTTGAGCCTAAGTAATGAGTGAGACAATCTACGAGGATTAAAGTTTGAACTTTTAATGTCACGTAATGTTTTTGTTAAAGCAAAGTCTAGAACAATTTAAAATCGGAACACTATCAATATCTTCTTGTCAAACTAAGACTCATCGAAATGTTTGGCTCAGAATGACTTTCACAAAACAATCATAAACTCGAGACCAGCTAAACCGGAAATAACTTATTTTTATTGAACACTTTTTTCTTTGCACTTCTTGTCCTCTTGCCTATTTTAGAAATCACAGTCTTGATTGCAATGTTTGACTCGAGACATCTAATCTTGCAGTTTTCAGCTTTGAGATTCATTCAAAAACAGTTACAAGTTATTGTTTGTGTTTTGAACTTTATAGAATTTTAAACTTACAATATCAATCAATGATAGGCAAACTTTGGCTGTCTTACAAGATAGAAACATTCGTCCAGTGAGACGAAGCCATTCGGACGCTGAAAAACATCCATCAATGGCTATATTCACTTTGAAAAGGAATCCAAACACAGCGCATCAACTCTCAACTCCACAAATGCTCAGGGAAATCCTCACCGTTTCATCGATATTTTTTATTATCAATGGTAAGTTTTACAGCTTGAGTAACGAATAAGTCTTCTAAACTTGAACCTAATCTTCTTTTTCAGGTGCATTGCTTGTAATCTTCTACGAACTTCCAAATATGAACACTGTAAATGCGATTGTTGTCAAAACGAATAGATATGCTGATCTGCATCATGTCTTCACTTTCACGCAGTTTTTTGTAAGTGTCAAACGATTAGTTAAATACTGAAGCATGGTGAGTGATGATGTTTGAAAGAGGAAGCCGACCATGCCGGTATTCGCTCCACAAGTAGTGGCATGTCCCCTTTCTTTTGGCTTGGATTGTTTCCGACATTTTGTATGGGTTTTGGCGTTGTTTTCTCCAATTTCTTCCGACTTTTCATAGCCATCGCCACACAGTCATTCGTTCACAGTAATGTCTAGCCAATTTGCGGGTTGATCCATCGAGATTTAGCAGGAGAATCGATGTCTCAGAATCAGAATCGATCGATCCACTTTCCAAGGTCCGCCTTCCCTCTTCCGTTTGATCCTCGTGTTGCCCGTCACGAATTTGTGAAACCATCCCAGTACTCGTTCCAACGATGTAGCCATAAAATCAATTTATTTCACGTGCTGCTTTGGCCGCTGAAATCCCTCTTGAAAATCGTTGGAGCAGTTGGACGTGGAGTTTCTTCTCGAGTTGGCTTCATTCGATCGACTGCAACTCTGTTCTCGTGTCGATCCCTAAAAAATGAATTTCAGTGCAAGAAAGCAGAAAGTTTTAGCATGAAAAAGAAAAAAAATGAATACAAATCGTTGTGAGCGAGTACTGATCAAAACAAAAATCTCTGGGTTTTTATGGGATAACCTAATAATATCAAACGTAGAAAGGTGCCAGAGTACGATTACTTGGCTGAACTGAACACTGAAGAAAGAGAACTTGGCTTTTGCTATTCCCACGGTTTTCTCTAAACCAAAGAAGAACCAACCTTAGATTTATTGTTAGTGAGATGCCAGGCCAACTAAGGTTGATGCTAGGAAGTGCCAAAGTAAATATCATTGAATGAATCGGAGAAAAAGGACTTATTATTATTATTGTTTCAGCAGTTTTCTTAAAACAAAATGTTTAGTGCTCAATCCTTTCCGTTTTCGCGAACATTGTGAGTGCTTGGCTTTGTTGGAGATCTCGCCTCCTTTTCAAAGTCGTCTCAATGCTATTAATCGCCGATTCCTTGACTAGAGCGGCTTCTTCAGCTCTCCTTGTACTTGCCTTTTACTGTGTATTTCAATCTTTGTAAGTTGTTTTGAAGAATTCCGCCAAAAACTCTAATTTCAGCATTCCTTCCTTGAGATGTGATGGTCTTGTATATCAAATCTATCAATGGCTTCAAATTTTCTTAAACCCTTTCATTTACATTTCCAGCATGGTGCAAATAAGCAAGCTGTTCATTTTATATTTATAGATAATATCATTTCAGCCTTATCATTGAACCGTTTCCTTGCTCTATCATTTGGTGGAATGTACTATCATCGAATGCGCAGATATCCATGGCTTCAAGTCGCAATTCCTTATGTTCTTGGATTCGTCTCGAAGATGTGGATTGCTGACATTTGTTGGATTTCCTTTTCACTTTAAAACAACTCTATTTTAGTTAATGTTCGTCTTACGATTGTTTCAGCAACAATCTCGCTTGATTTTATTCTCATCTACAAGATGATTGTAAGTCGAATTGCCGTGATTTCTTAATTCCAGAAGTTCAATGCCCTGACAATGAGCAATGAACTTAAACTTCTTCCAAAACTGTTCAACTTTTTCTTTTTAACCCTAACTACAAAATTTCAGAAATCAAAAAAAACCGTCAATCATGCTAGCGAACGTTTCCTCTTTGCTCAAGTGAGTTTTTTCTAAAGTGCAACACAACCTATCTTTCCAGATCGTGGCCAACAATTTGCCATTCACTTATTGTTATCTACTTGCTCCATTCCTTTTCATCACAATTATGCCATGGGCTCCGATGTTTTCCGATTTCATCTATTACTTTGGAAATCTGCTTTTGTACACTGGGAGTCACCTGTATCAGGCGTGAGTCTTGCAATCGTTTGACTTGATGTCTTTCATCTAATCTTTATTAACGTAACTAATAACTAGCTTAGCTTCTCGTTTGTTTTTCATAAAGTACTTTTCAGAATCGTCACAATTTACCTACTGCGCAAGGACGAACGAAAAAACGTCATTCGAAACTCATCAGCGGTAAGATGAAAAAGAAGAACTTGCTTATATCCTACATGCATTTACAATTGCCATTCAATACCGGTTATTCTTGTGCAAGATTTATGTACTATTCGTGTTTCTAAAAGTGCACCAAACACCAATTTCCTTGAATGAATTGAATTGGTTCAGTGTTTCTTTGAAAAGCAAAAAAATAGGTTATTAATAAAAAAATCAGACACCTTTTCTGTACCCTTTTTTCTGTCATGCATCAAAAAGCTGTTTTTAAGTGTAAGAGATGGAAAATCGTTTCAAAGAACAAAACAAAGAGAACAGCTTAGAAAATAATGACCATAAATCTAAAATTGCAAAGAGAAAAGTTTTCGTACATCGTGATTAACTTGTTTATTTGGACAGAGAGCGTTTAATTGCCGATCCTTTTTTGTTCGAAACGGTAAGACTCGATGGACGAAGGACTTTTTGAGGTTTGGATTGCAGGTTGAAAAAGATGACGACACATCTAAAGTTGCATTATAGCTACACCACAAATAAGATCAGAAATATCCGAAAGTACTCAATTACTGTAACGATTTCGAGAAGCCACTCGTTTGTACTCTGTAATACTGAAGTAAGCCGGATGACCTAGATGGTATTGACTCAAAAATGGTGCTAACGGATCTCAAGATATTGCTCCAAGTTTCCATAAGTTTAAAAAGGTACAGCTCACCCCAGAATGCAATGAACAATGAATGGTGAAACTTCTAGAATCAAATAATAGAATATCGGGGATTCTGCGGTGAAAACACAGTTTGCAATATTGTTCCCAAGTAGAAAGCAGATTGTGATCAAATGGGTTGTAACAAGCTAAATTTCTGTTTCAAAATGATTGTGATTTATGACCAACCATAATTGTTCCATCAGCATCCATCAAGCATCTGCGTGGAGTTACTCAAGACAGACTTCTATTAGGTTGGCACAGATGAAAGTTCCGTTGGAACCATAAACAAAATTTATTATAAAAACCATAATGCAGAACCTCAATCCAAAAGATATTCACTATCATTATCAATGACTCTTTGCCATCTTCCACGCAGGGAATGGATGCCGTTTTCGAAGAACTCGGCCAACTGCGACTCGAAGAAGTTGGACACCCAGATTTCGACTTCTTCGCGGTTTTTGGTTTTTTTCTGCTAAAGAGTGCTGCATCGACCGAAACAAGTGGTAGTCGGATGGGGCCAAGTCCGGGTTGAAAGTGACGGATGTGACAGAACTTCCCAACCCAATTCCTCGATTTTCTGCTGTGTGATCTTCGCGGTGTGCGGTCGAGCGTTGTCGTGGAGGAGTTTTGTAGTCGCCGTGTTTATGCCTTGATGCAACGCCTGGTCCACGCTGCTCATTTAGGCTTTGTAGAGGTCCGCCGTAACCCTTTGGCCCGAATCCATACTAAGAGGCGCTCTTCCAGATAGACAAATATACTTTATAAAAACTTTTATTACGTCCAAAAAATAAACAAACAAGTGTGACGGAAGTTACATCTGCACCAACCTAATATATTACGTTTGAGTAGAGTCCAAAAGTTTGGAACAATCACCTTCCGGCAACTTCAACTCGATGTAGTTTGCGTTAGATACATCCAATTTTGTTACTTTAAAAACTATTTGTCGCATTTTTTGTGAACTTTCTGAATATCAACTTGATTTTATTTGATATCTGATCTTTTTTTATCTTGCGCTTTTTCTTGGAACACCCATTTTTTAGGGATCCGAAAGTTTGGAACAATTTCAAAAATAACAATACATTTTTAATTTTAAGATGCCAAATCTTTCGAATTTGACGGAGTATGATAAAGAACTGATTGTGGCTGAAGTAAATCGAGGAAAGAGCCGTCAAGAAGTCGCCACAACATTCGGTGTCACCCATTCAGCAGTAACCAAGATTTATAACAAATGTAAGTTTTCCGGAAATGTGAAACGAGCACCAACAAAGGGAAGACCAGTTAAACTGGATGAACGTGATGAGAGGACACTTGTGCGACCATTTAAGAAGAATCCACGCCTCAATTCAGTTGATCTACGTCGCGATGCCAAGTCAATATACGTAGTATCACTTTCCAAAACGACGACTAAGCGTACCATAAAGTAATTTTCTGGTTTAGAAAGCAATAAAATGTTGCTATTTAGGCGAGAAGAACTCAAAGGAAGTCGTCCATCTCGAAAGCCGTTGATTTCCGGCAATAACGTAAAGGCTCGGCTCGAATTTGCCAAGAAGTACAAAGACTGGTCGGCTGATGATTGGAGTGATGTATTGTGGAGTGACGAAAGCAAATATGAGCTCTTTCCCACCAATGGAATCGATACATTAGACGTCCAATTAATCAAAAAATACAATCCAAAGTATCAAATTCCAACAGTCAAACACGGCGGTGTTCTCGTTTGGAGTTGGTTACCTCTATTATCAACTGAGCTTATTTGAGTTTAGGTTGTTTCTCACGATACGGTGTCGGTCCACCTGTCAGAATCAATGGTATTATGGATGCAGCTGCTTATGAAAACATCTTGAAAACCCATATGCTTCCAAATGGCAGAAACAACTTGACCAACGACTTCACTTTCAGGCACGATAACGCTCCGAAGCATACGGCCCGGCGTGTTAAGCAATGGCTCCAACAAAAAAAACGTCGATGTGCTTCAATGGCCGGCTCAAAGCCCTGACCTGCATCCAGTAGAGCATCTTTGGGAGCATTTGGACGGACAAATCCGTACCAGAAACTTCACAAAAACATCCGAACTTATGAAGGCGCTTGAAGAGGAATGGACTAAGATCCCAAGGCGAACCATTGACAATTTGATCGATTCAATGCCAAATCGTTGTGCAACTGTTATTAAAGCAAAGGGATACGCCACAAAAAACTGAATTTTGCTGATTAATTGTTAAATAATTTGTTATTTTTGAAATTGTTCCAAACTTTCGGATCCCTAAAAAATGGGTGTTCCAAGAAAAAGCGCAAGATAAAAAAAGATCAGATATCAAATAAAATCAAGTTGATATTCAGAAAGTTCACAAAAATGCGACAAATAGTTTTTAAAGTAACAAAATTGGATGTATCTAACGCAAACTACGTCGAGTTGAAGTTGCCGGGAGGTGATTGTTCCAAACTTTTGGACCCTACTGTGCAGTACTGAACAGATTAGGCTTGTTTTTCCCATTGTTTAGCGGCCAAGCTTTTCTCAGGTGTTACTATGCGTTATTGACGGTTCTTCTTTGATCATTTTAATAAATTCGTTGTCAAAAATCTTTTTAGAAACTCAAAATATTAAAAAAACTTTAAACGTCTTAAAGCTTTCAAAAAAGCCTTCAAAAACCTCGGATAACGGACAAGAGCCAAATGGACCTTTCGATGTAGATGTCCGGCTTCATTTTAGACGATCACAGATGCTATTTTCTTTTATATACCATACTCTGTTGAAACGACGTTGCTCAATACAGTCAATTGCTGATTTCGGTGAGGTTGGTTTGGTTGACTATTGAGAGAATTGGGAACCAAAATCAAGCTCACATCTCCTCCAGAGTTGTTTTTCCTTGGTTAATTATTTAGGTTGGCACCTTAATAATGACGCGTCACTACTTAACATGTTTTTTGTAATTTCAAGCGCCGTTTCTTCCCTCTTTTTTTGCATATATACAAAGTAAAAGATGTCTGCATAAATAACATTTAGTGCTCCAAATTTCATCATTTGCTTTTTTGGCAATAAATGGAGGACAAAAAATTCCGTATTCGAGCTGCATTGTTCTACGATTTTAAACAAGAAAAATCACCAGCTGAATCTCATCGCACGATCATCACGGTTTTTGGAGAGGAAAGTATACACATTCGTCAATGTCAACGATGGTTTCAACGATTCCAAGGCGGCGATGAAAGCCTCGTAGACGAGCCACAGGAGGACATCCTCCAGAAGTAGTCGACGATCACCGGCTCGCCTTAATTGAAGCTTGCCCAACACTTACTGTTCGTGATTTGCAGAAATATTTGAAGTATCTAATGCGACAATCGAAAACTATTAGGGTGTCCGGAATGAAAATACCCTCAACTTCGATTGTAATTTTTTCGGTGTAGCGAACAGCTTCGCGTCTGATTTTTGTTTTGTTTTAAAGTTATATATCTTTTCTAACCCTATGTTTTTATAAAAATTTACTGCCTTACAATTTTGACTTTTTTCGAATAGAAGATCAGAAGTACCGAATTCGGGTGTGCTTGCTCTACGACTTTAAACAAGGAAAAAGTGTCCGGGAGAGCCATACTTCAATCTTGAAATTTTTTGGAGAAGCTGCTTATTTTGAGGAAGCTTGTAAAAAATGGTTTCAACGATTTAGAGAGGGAGACGAAACTCTACAGGATCGAGGACGTGGTCACTCCCTCCACGATGACGATCTTCGAGAAGCCATAGAAGATGACCCAACCTTGTCGACTCGGGAACTTGCAAAAATGTTTGCTGTAGGCCACACAACAATTGTGGACCATTTACATCGTTTGGGTAAAGCGAATCTTGTCCCATTGATGGGTACCCCATCAACTTAGTGACGCTAATAAAGCTTTTTGGGACACTATTATGACGGCCGATGAAAAATGGATTTACCACGATAACCCATCGCGAAAACAGCAGTGGTTAAGTCCAGGAGAACAGCCAAAAAACGACGCCACGACGTCATCCGGATGGAAGAAAGGCTATGTTATCTGTTTGATGGAATTCCCGTCTTATACACTTATACGCTTTGAGGTTCTATCTTCTCTTCCAACAGTCAGCTTAGATCTATGTGTGCAGCAGCTGGAACGACTAGACCAGGCTCTCAAGAATCAAGGCGTAAACACATCGACTGTGAGATATCTGCAAGATTACGCGCGCCCACACAGAGCAAAGAAGACGCAGGAAAAATCGAGGATATTGGGTTGGGAATGTCTCCCGCAGCCGCCGTATAGTCCAGATCTGGCACCCTCAGACTACCGCTTATTTCGATCTATGCAGCACTTCCTGACCGATAAACACTTGATG